CGTAGTAGTACGTACTGTCTGTCTTACCTGAGGCAGTCTGCACAGTAGTACGTACTGTCTGTCTTACCTGAGGCAGTCTGCGTAGTAGTACATACTGTCTGTCTTACCTGAGGCAGTCTGCACAGTAGTACGTACTGTCTGTCTTACCTGAGGCAGTCTGCGTAGTAGTACGTACTGTCTGTCTTACCTGAGGCAGTCTGTGTAGTAGTACGAACTGTCTGTCTTACCTGAGGCAGTCTGCGTAGTTGTACGTACCATCTGTCTTACCTGAGGCAGTCTGTCTTACCTGAGGCAGTCTGCGTAGTAGTACGTACTGTCTGTCTTACCTGAGGCAGTCTGCGTAGTAGTACGTAGTCTGTCTTACCTGAGGCAGTCTGCGTAGTAGTACGTACTGTCTGTCTTACCTGAGGCAGTCTGCGTAGTAGTACGTACTGTCTGTCTTACCTGAGGCAGTCTGTCTTACCTGAGGCAGTCTGCACAGTAGTACAAACCGTCTGTATTACCTGAGGCAGTCTGCGTAGTAGGCCTCGCTGTCTGCGTCCGTCTCCAGCAGCATATGTACGGCGCGGTCACCCTGCCCCAGCAGTACCATCTCCTCCACACACTGCTGCGTCAGCTCATACGACGTCCGCTTGCTCTCGTGCAGAGCCAGCTGCTCGTGGTTGTTCTTCTGCACATAGAACAAGCAGTAAGAATTAATTCACGTTTTGTCGAAATTTCTAATTGTCGTCATCGTGGCATTGTGGCACCTTATTCATAGTACCATTATAACATTATCATACCCATAATATATTATATTACATATAAATACATTATATTATAATATTTATATATTACCATTATTTATGGTACCTTATTTATAGTCCGTAACCAGATTGTGGCGATACCTGAAACGTGGCGCCATCTGTGAGGATGTCCCAGCAGCGGTCGAGGGCTGGACCACGCAGAGCTTCCCACAGCTTGTCCGTCTCCTCCGCCTCGCTGCGCTGCTTGTTGTCCAACTCAACCAGGTCCTGCACCTCGTGCACGGTGGTGCCACCTCGCGGCACAAACACATCGCCGTGCCCCTGCTGCCGCTTCGCAAAACTGTCGCTCTGCAACGGTAGCACGCACACACACACGGATTATGAGCATAGCGATGGTACGTTCTGAAAAGCAATGCTTAGCAATGAAGTGATGCGGAGTCGTTGTTTTGGCATGCGCGTGAAAAATGCTGTAAATTACATGCGATGACCAGCCTGGCAACAGTATTTAAGGGCAATGTTGCCTCGGTCAGAAGGGTCACAGATAGTAATGAATATTGGGTAACTTTTGAGTGGAGCAGCAATCAGTTGCTTTAACATTTGTGTTGTATCACCAGCGGGAATATGTGCATCTGAATACGTTATCACCTGTACCGTATCTGCAAAAAGTGAGCTAATTGAGAACACGGTGCGAAACAAATGAGGACTGCCTAATGGACAATGGTTAGGAGTTTGGAAGAAAAAAATCCCGGCACAAAGCCGACGGAAATACCTTGGACATTGGCCGTGCTTTCTCTGCCCGCAGATAATACAGTGCCACCGTCCAAAAATAGATTTCCGATTCATCACCAAACAGACGTCCAACCGTCAGGCAGCGTTCGGCGACACCGAATCGGCAGCTGGGAAGATAGCTTCTCACATCCCTTCAACAATGCACGAGGAATAAATCGACACCACATTCCAGTATTAATTAGCTGAGAACGTTGATCCATTCAAGATAAATATATAGATGCGAGTATTATCATAATCACGGGCTAGGAAGGAAACAGCTGCCTATTCATGAGTGTCAATTCCTGAACACACCAGATACACTTTTAATATGCGGAATCATGTGACAACCATCACGTATGCACGTGCACTAAATAATGTTTTTTTTTTAAATTGCACATTTATAAACACAAACCAATGCTTTGAAACATACTTGTGCATATACGATGGTGTACATATATAATATATATAAGCCCACACCTATCTGTGAACGCACATTTCCTCTTTATACCTATCATTAATCCCCGTCGTGAAATATATCTGTCTTCCTCTGTCGGGGTGTTATTTCGAGATGCACCCGTACATTTCATACGCACCTGTACATTTCATACGCACCTGTACATTTCATACGCACCTGTGCATTTCATACGCACCTGCCTACATTTCATACGCACCTTGTACATTTCATACGCACCCGTACACTTAACAACATCCTACATTTTCACACGAACCGTGTACATTTCATACGCACCTGTTACATTTCATACGGCACCTTACATTTCTTACGACCTGTACATTATATACGCACCTGTTACGATTTCACACGCACCTGTACATTTCATACGCACCTGTACATTTCATACGCACCTGTACATTTCATACGCACCTGTGCATTTCATGAGCACCTGTACATTTCATACGCACCCGTACACTTCACAACATCCGTACATTTCACACGCACCTGTACATTTCATTCGCACGCACCCATACATTTCATACGCACCTGTACATTTCACACGCACCCGTACATTTCATACGCACCTGTACATTCCACAACACCTGTACATATCATACGCGCCTGTACATATCATACGCGCCTGTACATATCATACGCACCTGTCTAGAACGTCCACCTGTTCGTTGACGAGGCGCTGCGTGAACTCCTCGGCGGTGTCGACGAGGTCGGTCATCGTCAGCGAGTACTCGTCGCGCCACGGCTGATGCTGCAGGTGATACTGGAGGCTGAGCGACGCGCGGCCCGGCAGCAGATACGGCGAAAATATCGGCTCTGCAACGGCAACGGTGCTCTGTTCATCTCCCTCTTAACTTAACTTAACTTAACTAACTTCTTAACTGGTGCTAAAAGACTATCTGGGATGTGTATAGCCCGGTGCTGGTAGGCGGCTAGTGTATGTGTACTCACCTACGGTGTCATGGTGTTGTATTGGTGAGCAGGAGCTGCGCATGAGAAGGTCCAGTACGCGGATGCAGCCGTCCTCCGACGAGAGCATGGGTCTGTCGGACGCCGCCCATTCTATGTCATGCAGCTTCGGCAGGTCCTTCGGAGTCTTTATCGAGCTCACTAGCTCCACCTGGCAGCGAGATAGAGAAAAACACACATGGAGATGCATTCAGAACACCGTCTCTTAATTTTGAGATATATAGTACACAATCTATTATCCGAAATCCTAAAAACCGAAAAGCTCTGAAAACCGAAAGATTTTTCGTGGAGGTCGTTTGCACACCAAAGCTCACGTTTGGTGCCAAAATTCGATCCGACGAATATAAATGTGTTTAGCATTACTCATACATATTGTACTGTACCGGTACAGCACTTGGCCTCTTAAAAACTTAGGTTTTAGTACTGGCTAGTTGCAGGATATACGGTACGTATATCTGTACTCTACTACCATTCCGAAATCCGAAAAATTCCGAATTCCGAAACGTGTCTGGTCCCAAGGGTTTCGGATAATAGATTGCGTACTGTATATCATTCATAAATCTTCGCAATTCCCTCAGTGTTTTTCATCTAAAAATTACATCCCCTGCGACAACCGCTAATGATAAAGCATGTAGAAAAAATGTAGCTGCTAAGGTTCGCTTACGTCTTTGGCATCCCAGACATCGACACCATCATTGTAGAGAATCACCAGCTTCATGTTGCCCCTTCCAGGAGCAAACCTGACCTTCTTGATCCAGCCTCGGTCCGTAGGTATGGCCCTAGTAGCAAAGATATATCGAAAGATATAGTAGCAAAGATATAAAGTAAACATATCGCAAAGAAACGACATTGGGCAGCTGCTGTCATGTTACACCCAGTTTGCCAATAACCTTCTTGAGCCCTCGTTACTGAGTATAGTTATATGAAAACACAATTTCACAATTCTCCTTCATTTCTATACATGAGCATGAGGGAGAGAAAAAGAGAGGGAGAGGGGAGAGAGAGATAGAGAGAGGGTGGATATAAAGAGATAAAAAAGAGAGAGAGAACATGAGAGAGAGAGAGAGAGAACATGAGAGAGAGAGAGAGAACATGAGAGAGAGAGAGAGAACATGAGAGAGAGAGAGAGAACATGAGAGAGAGGCGCGGAGGTATGGCAGAAATCGCATGCATGAGTACGTATATTTTCCAGGTATTTCTTCTTTCTATCTACTCTACACACAATCATACCTGGAGATGCGATTCTTTAGGTCCCAGATGCTAAGGTTTCCATCAACATCTGCCAGCACCATCATGTCTCCCTTCCACGCAATGCAGGTAATACTGCCCATGCTGGCCTGGATGATAAAAATAGAGTTAATGTAGTCGCAATGTCTGCTAACAATGTCGAGACCATGGCTTAAAGCCAATTAATGTCATTTTGCAAGTGTTTTTCTTAGGTATCCCCAAACGGCAGCACTTTTTATCAGATAACATTGAAATTAACATATTGAATTTAAACAGTAAAACTTTCAATTGAAAAATTCACCAATGTCACTGAAACACTGGCACATTAACAAAAGAGGTTACATAGAGAAAGTAAGTAATAATGAGTATTTATAGGGATGCATGCATATATCTACTCACATCTGCTGGTATTTTCGATCCTTCCTTCACCATTGACCCTTCCACCACAAAATGATACAGCTGTCCATCATTGTCGGTAAACACAAAGTGCTCCTTGGCTGCACCAGGGGGCTTTCCCTCCTGTCTAGATGTGTAGACATAAAAAAGTAGTAATATAGTCACAAACACTGACAGCTCACAGCTACACTGATTCAACACCATATGTGCCTGGCACAACTTGCTAAAGCCTGATACAGCCCACCACAGTTTCACAGTGACTCTACTGGTTTCAAAGGTTTCAACATAATACATCTTGTGATGCCATGAAGCTATCACTACCTCCACGACATGCCTAAAGCTGGGTTTACACTATCGAAAAGTCGACGAGTTGATCAACTTTTCAACGCTCTATGAACCTATCGGATGTTCAAAGCATTTACATTATCGACCGCGAGTCGGCAAACGTATCAACATTTCACCCGCAGTGTGCGCGCAGGGCGATGTGGATACGCGATATATGTGATCAACTCATCAACTTTTCAACAGAAAGTTGATAGCGCAAACCCAGCTCAACTCCATGACGACCTACAGTGACCTCTGCCAAGGTTACCTGTTAGCGGCGTCCATTGCGCTAGCCGGCGATCCTTGCTCGGTCGTCTGCTCCCTGCCGACGCTGTCCGCACTCTCCTGAGACTCATGCCGTCGCTTGAGGTTCTTTACGCTAGCCGAGGGCGACCACTCCTACACACGCACATACAGCATTATATCACTACCACAAAGCTGGCTGAGGGCGACCACTCCTACACACGCACATACAGCATTATATCACTACCACAAAGCTGCCTGAGGTTGATCACTCCTACACACGCACATACATGCAGCATTATATCATCACCCTTCAAAGCTGGCCACACGCTCATGCACAATTAAATAAATATTTATGAATTGATAATGCAATTAATATTACGAATTGAATGATGCATTGTTTGTAAGTGAAGACCAATAAACAATTATCTTTTTATAGTTATAATAATAATAATAATATAACAGTAGCAATAAATATTTTATTTGCCCTCCTCTTCTACCTCCTCATCCACCTCCTCTTATTCCACCTTATAGTCTCCTCATCTATCTCCCCTCTTCTCCTATCTCCATGCCTTTACCTCCTCCCCTCTTCTTCTTCCTCCTCCTCATCTTCCTACTCCACCTTCTCCTCTCCTGATGTACCTCCCCTACATGCACTTTAATTTCTCCTTTTTAATGATGTGTGACTACAGATGGCAGCACATACCAAGGCAGTAATAACGGGAAAGCTGCGAGGCATCTGTCTCAGCAGCGTGAAGCTGCGTAGATCCCACAGCTCCATCGGGTTGTCCTTGAAGACGACGCAGACGTACTGCTTCAGATAGGAGACGCGCACCAGCTCCATCGGCGATTCATCCACACCCTTGTCACCGCGAAGCAGACGCGTACGCCCTGACAACACACAGACAACAAACATGGATCAGATTGCAGTATAATGAAGATATAATCAGGTTTTGAAGTATAACTAAACTGAGTTAGGCTATAAAAAGTTCCAACTAATTTCGTTAGCAGGCCATCTCATGTTTCCTCTGTATATATATGACGAGAACATAGAATAATATCTACATGACGAGAATAATGGAAACTCCTGCTGTTTCAACATCATATTTATTCAGTTATTTTATCATTTTATTTGTGTAGTCGGTAGTAATTTGCAACAACAATAGACATCAGAAACTTCAATGTTTAATGTATTCAGAGCAACTTCCGAAAATCCACCGATTAGTATATTACTATGGACACACTTTTTACCATTTATTTTACTACAAATTAATGTTAGATTCGTATTTTACTATACACACTTACCTGTATTGATGTCTACGAGAAGTAGTTCATTCTTTATGAGACCACTGTTTCCACCTGGTGTCGGGTAGGCGTAACTCAGAAAGCCAGTCAAACTCACCCATTCAATTCCTCTGTGGAATAGAGAATACAATTGCGGAATAAATTCTACAGCACACATCTCTTACATACAATTATTACTAAATTTACATTTACTGACACTATCACAATACAATTACATTTAACAAACTGTAAAAAAAAGGTTTAGCGGTTGTGAAAAACTGACCTGATAGCACAGGTGTGAATACTGAACTCCTTCCATAGTGTACCTGTAGACAGGTTGAACACCTGAACAGATCCACACATTGTACCTGAAAAGCAACACCTGCCCAGTAACAAATACTGACACAATAATGTAAAACAGACATGTATTGATATCTAATAGCGGTGACAAGTCGATTTTAGTCGACATAATTGGCTTCTTGGAAATAACTTGGAAACAGAAAAACCTGTGATTGCTCGACACAGGTCATGGTGAAAGGGAATGTATCCATCTTTATTTGGTAAACTAAAGCATTACTTGTTACTAAATCTAACCTAAAGTTATTTTCCACTAAATTGTTATTAACGTTATTTAGCAAACTAAGCTTCTTTGACGATAACAAAAAGTCCTGGAAAAAATTGCAGCAGATTTCATTGTATAATGTATATAATGAAACAAAAATCCAAAACCATTACTGACACAACAGTTTCAAAAATTTATCTTATCTCAAAACTATAGCATTAGTAATAATTTTCTATTCATATCATATTTTAATTATATTATCAAGAGTTAGTATGTACGTCTAACGCTAGAAGACACTGCTTACCTGCAGCCAGCAGTGGCTTGTACACATTCCAGTTCTTTGTCGTCAAGGGGGGACACATGCGCAGTACTGTGACAGGACTTGCTGCACCAGATAACATACCAACCAACAAGAACTTGAAGCAAACATCATGTCGACTACCGGTGCTGCCCTCTACGGCGGTGTTGTTGGATGGAGCGATCATATCGGCAATGGTGGCTTGTGGCCCAGCCACGTTGCACTTATAGGGGAACGTCCAATCAGCCGGATAGGTGGCGCTATCTACAGGGCCCCTGTGACCCGGCGTGTGCAGCGGCGACATTGGCAGTTGGTTGTAAACGTGCGGAGCGAATGCCTAAGTAGTGAAATCACAATTACGATAAAAATATGTCAGTTAGCAAGCTTTACTCTACCGTACATGTGGTACTACTAAGGTACAGGTGCAAACAATGGCAAAAAAAGAAATAGTATTGCAAGTTGCACAGATACAAATTTCTTATTTTATAACTACTACCAAATCACCAAAAACAGACAAACCTACAAGTTATCACCTTTTTTTAAAGAAATTTCTACAAATTTAAAATGTGCTACAGTAATTCAGCCACCCTAGATTAGCAATAAAACATAACATGCCCCATCTATACTGACGATGAACTCGATTCAAACTGGCAGTTGAAACCCAATTCGAGCAAGGTTACGCACATGCTCAACTGTCTTCAGCTCCCACAACAACAGGCGTCCGTCGCCTAGCAACAGCGCGAACTTGTTCTCCGAGATGGGGCACGCGGACACGCTGAAGACGCGGGACTGCTTGCTGAGCCTCATTGGATCGGACTGACAGCGTAGCTCATACACGACGTCGACGTTAGACTCGCCTATCTGCATGTACGGCGAACCTGCGACCAGTAGAGACAGCAGCGATTACGTCGGCTCGCACTACTTGCAACAGTTACTAGAGGCGTAACGATAGGCTAGGGTCACGATGCAATGCGTATCACAATACGTAGTTCACGATGCGATTCATCGGTGAATCGATACATCCCTGACAGTTACAATCGAAAATACATAAAGGTGTATTATTTAACATGCCAATTTATATTAATTAATAAACTAATGCTCATTAGGGAAATATTTATTATGCTAGGAATGGGGCACATATAATACAAGTTACACTAACACATTAACTGCTGCTTTTAACACATAAAAGCAAGTGGAAAACCTCACAGATGTGGCGCACCCTGACATTGCTGTAAATAACACTACCTGGTTCATTCGGCGTCGGCGCGGGACTGGCAAAAATTTTCCGCACTCGTACCGTTATGGCGCCGTTTTCGTGCAGGCACACAAGAACGTCTCTCTGTCGGCACGGGAACACCTGAAACACCATCACTGACAGTCAGCCGCCGTACCATCCCTAAGCTTGATTACTATCGAACGTGCTACACATTAAATATTGGAAAAAGCTGCATACGTGCTCACATTCAAATTACGACACCGACGTAGAGCTAATCATCAATACACGCAGAAATCCCACTAAAGTTGACGCATTAGTACGTATCTTTAGCACTGTTTTATAGTTTCGGTTACTTGGTTTACTTGGTATTCTGCACTGGTGCACAGTGTTAGCACGGCGCTATTACAGTGCACATTCCTACATAATCATCGCACTAATACTGTGCATGAATAAAACAGTGCGATGGATGCCTCACGCCCCTGCCAAGTCCCACCTGCACGAAAGGCGAGCCGGTTCTCTCCATTGGGATGATTCCCACCGTCTGCTTCACGTGGAGATCTACTAGCAGCACTTCGCGTGGGTAGACAAGCAGCAAGCAGTGTCGCCACGCGGGGTGGTAGGCCAGCTGTAGGCAATCGGTCAGCATCACGGCTCCTGCATCTTCAATCTTACTGTACGCGGCAGAAAGGAGAATGGTGTTTCACGTGGCAAACAGGACAGTCACTTTCTGAAGAACTACTGACGAAAGCTAACGTGGATTTAACTCGACATATATTTAATTATATTATATTATATTATTTAATTATTTAATACATATTTTATTTTATGTTTTATAGTCATATATACACACATTATATATATATATATATATATATATATAAAATATAATACATAATAAATATATATAAATATATATAATACAGTAACTTAATTTTTCACATATATCAGGTATCCTCCAATTGCTATCTATTCTCAATAAGCAACGCAACAGCACATTTCGTAACCAATTGTGGCAAAAGCATAAAATCAGTATAATATTAATGGAAGCTTAACAAACCTTAACGTATTATGCACTGTTAGCAATTAAGGTACTGTTGCTAAGTAGTTGAGGATTACTGCTAGGATTTATCATCAGCCTCCCCTTACCTGTGTTTACCCTCCTGCATGACCAGCATCTTGACCTTGTTACGTATCATCTGTCTAGCACCGGCTCTGCGCTCGGCCGCCGACACCAGCGCGGACGTGCCGCCGGCAGACCCGTTGCCATGGCTACCGAGGCTGCCCGTGCTGGCGCTCCCCGACACGCCGGCGTTGCTGTTGCTGATGTAGAATTTCCTGCCATTTGATGATGGCACCTTGTGGCAGGAGAAGTCTTCAACCAGGAGGATGCAATCCTGGCCCAGGACTGCAAGAAAATGTCTCTCTCGAACACCGTCCAGAATGCAGGACATCACGACAGCATCACACTGCATCTCTTCTATTACATCATGATAAGGAAGCAGGACATACACACGTAAGGAAATATTGATTTGCCTAGTATATACAGAAGAGACAATGATACCTGTAGCTATAATATGGCTTCGTTCCATGACATGGGCCAACAAATGACAAAGAAATAAAACTACAACCTTCATGCCACACATGATAAGACATTTAAGGAGATGATCAAACATTCAAGTCTACATCAGTGTCAGAAACTAGACGTTAATGTTCTAGGCTGTCTGAAGTTTCTGAGCATTTTTCATTGCATAATAACAAACCTTACATGCATTAAGAGTAGGATAATGACATTTTTATGGAATGTTTTCAGTTGACTAGCAATGATGACCAACAAGCAATTACACAGTTGCATCATCTTGCAATTCTTTCTGCCTTTTCGCTGCAAACACTCACACGCGACGTTTGCAGCATCAAATGGATCAAAGGAGACACTCAGTAGTGGTTCAGTGTATGTCTTCTTCCAGATTTTAGTGCCCGTGTCGGCGTTCCACAGAACCAGCGAGTAAGGAGGGTGCAGCACAGCCAGCAGATCATGGGACGTGTCCTGTTGACTTAGCCACTCCATATCTACAAGAAAGTGCATATGTATAGTAATTAATTGCGTTACGTAACTACATGCGCTAGTTTTGTGGGCGCGTTTCAATTCCATTATCGCGAATCTCAAGATAGCAAGTGTATGCTTCTGATCATTTACTGTTTTATAGCCTATAACAGTAAAAACTGGTAATATGGCTTTGTATGCTGATGTAATCAATAATTTCTCAACATTTATTCATCTTAATTTATTTGAGAGACGATCTACTACTTAACATGAACATAATAATAGCTTAGTTGCAATGACTGCTACTGGCATACCCTGAATAGGTCTCCCACCATCGGAAAAACTTGCTCTAGTCGTAGCAGCAGCAACATCCCACACCAGGATATGACCGCTAGTGTCAGCAGATGCTAACCGTAGGGTGTAAGGCGATGCGATGTCATGGCAATAGTTTTCCCGTGCCCATTTTACCTGAACGCATTGTCAAGCACAGTTTTTACACTTGAGTCACAGCATTTTAATTTACAATAACACAACTTTGCTTTTGGTGTGATACTAGATTCGTAAAGTAGACCAGAATTTAGACAGATGACTAAAAGTAAACTTCGTCGGTAAATCAATATTTTTCGTAGATAATACTATCCACATAACACTAAAACAAACAGACATATCAGGCATAGCAATGCTACCTTTACAACAGGGCTTCTGTGCTTTTCCAAAGCTTGGATCACCTAAAGAGGAGGCAATAATAAACACAGAGGTTTAGAAACACATTTTATACTCGTGCGCCTACCTAAGTGACTGTTAAATATTATATATAGGAGTGTAACTGTAACCAAGCATCGAACTATCGGTTAATTGCGATAATTGAGGTGTTTTACTTAATAGCAATGCATCGATGGCAAAATGACAACAACGATCAATGATAGTCCACTGAACAATCAGTAGTTTTTGATAGCACCAAGATTAAAACACCAGGTTAGTTTATTTACTGCTAAAGACGTGTTTTCACACTTAAATATGCCTGACAAACAATGCCATGGTTTTCATGATACCTGTATGCACAGTATAAACCACAAATGTAACAACAAACAAATGTTCACCCATTAAAGACCATATGAATCCCCAAACCACTTTAATTTTATGCTAGAGTTAAATTACACGCACACATATTATATTCCTAATTGTACACAAACCATAACACAATGTAAATGTAATACAACATAACATAACATAACATAACACAGTGTAACATATCATAATCTCGAATAGAACTACTGCAAGTATTGCATATATCCAGCAAGTTGCTTTGACATACCATACCTGCACAATCTTTGGTTCAACGACAACGACAACATTTTCACTTCCATAGGCTAGCAGACCTTGAAATCCCCTTAATAAAAAAAGACATGGATACACCTGAATTGCTTGTGTCACCCTCAAGTTAACTTTAACAAAATCATATGTACAATTTTTTTAAATGTTGCATAAAAATTACACTTTCTGCCATCTTAGCAGGACATATATATATATCCTGATTTTTTTTAAACACAGATAAATAATCACACATTGACTCATCAAATCAACATTTAGGCTATGGCTACAGGTAGGTTTTGGTATACATGAAAAAGGAAAGCCAACAGTGAAAGGTGGAAATGTATGAGCATCTGATAGTTTGATGTGTTTTAACTACACAGCAAGTACTACCCGTGGACTTGTAGAGAATGTCCCATCTCACATCCCACAGACTCGTGGACAGTGCCCCATCCCATATCCCAAAGATTCATGGAGAATACCCCATTCTATATCCCATAGACTCATAGAGAATACCCTATCCCATATCCTGTGGACTTATGGAAAATGCCCCATTCCATAGCCCACCGACTCCTAGAGAATGCCCACGGAGATTGCCCTATCCCGTATTTCATGTCCTATCCCGTATCCTGTACACAAATGGAGAATGCTCTATCCTGTATACCATGGTTCAGCCAAAATTACGTGATATTTACGCGACAAAAAGACACAATGGAAACCCATGTTTATTGTTCTAGGCTTACTGATAACAAGCATACTTAATTTGTTGTGACGTGATGCAACAAAGTAGAAGGCGTTTGTGAACAAACAAATGTACCTCAAATTGAAATGTAATGGATGAATAGATGGATAGAAAGACAGACAGACAGATAGATAAATGAATAGATAGATAGATAGATAGATAGATAGATAGATAGATAAACAGATAGATGGACAAATAGATAGACCGATAGATAGACCAATAGATGAATAGACAGGCAAATATATAGATAATGTATAGTTTAACTGATACACTGAACACTGATACACTGATTCCACTTCTTGTGGACACTAACAGAGATAGAGAGAGAGACAGAGTAAAAGAGAGAAAGAGAGAGACAGACTAAGAGAGAGAGAGAGAGAGAGAGAGAGAGAGAGAGAGAGAGAGAGAAAGAGATGGAGAGAGAGAGATCAATCGATGAACAGATCAAGTTAACCTGTGTATTGGAGTCACTTATGTTGTGTCTAATTGACTTCAAGTGGCATATCATGATAAACGACATGCCTTCTAAAAAGCCTGAGACATAATATTCCCATGTATTCTGAAGTAAATTCTACAGAAGCTGTGTGTGCTAGTGCAGGGTTTCTTATACATATGAGGCACAG